CCTCCTGGCATCTGACCTCCTGGCATCTGACCTCCTGGCATCTGACCTCCTGAGCCCTGACCTCCTGGCATCTGACCTCCTGGTATCTGACCTCCTGGCATCTGACCTCCTGGCATCTGACCTCCTGGTATCTGACCTCCTGGTATCTGACCTCCTGGCATCTGACCTCCTGGTATCTGACCTCCTGGCATCTGACCTCCTGAGCCCTGACCTACTTAGCCCTGACCTCCTGGCATCTGACCTGGCAATGACCTCCTGAGCACTGACCTCCTGGCATCTGACCTCCTGAGCCCTGACCTCCTGGCATCTGACCTCCTGAGCCCTGACCTCCTGGCATCTGACCTCCTGAGCCCTGACCTCCTGGCATCTGGACTAGGGGTGCTGTTTGGATTGGAGTTCTATGGACTGGAACCTCAGTTCTGCTCCATTGGAATGTTACCTAACGTTGTAGGGAATATTCAAGGAACATTAACTGTGTTCTGGGTGAGCCCTGAGCTTTGGCCCTTTCCTTGGCTTCAGAACCAAGGATAATGTTTATAATTTTTGGATGGGAGTTCTCCAGACAGGAACCAACCTCTGTTCTGTTCTGCTGGAGCCTTGGAATTTAAGCCTACCTAACGTCCATGGAACATTCAAGCCCTGAGCTTTTTTGGCCGCTTGGCAGGAGGAGGAGGAGGGCGGCCCCTTGGCAGGAGGAGGAGGAGGGCGGAGGAGGGCCCCTTGCAGGAGGAGGGGGAGGGCCCCTTGGCAGGAGGAAGGGGAGGGCCCCATGGCAGGAGGAGAGGAGGGCCACTTGGCAGGAGGAGGGGGAGGGCCCCTTGGCAGGAGGAGGGGGAGGGCCCCTTGGCAGGAGGGGAAGGGGAGAGGGCCCCATTGGCAGGAGGAGAGGGAGGGCCCCTTGGCAGGAGGAGGGGGAGGGCCCCTTGGCAGGAGGAGGGGGAGGGCCCCTTGGCAGGGAGGAGGAGGGAGGAGGGCCCCTTGGCACGGAGGAGGAGGGCCCCTGGCAGGAGGAGGAGGAGGGCGGAGGAGGGCCCCTTGCAGGAGGAGAAGGAGGGCCACTTGGCAGGAGGAGGAGGAGGGCCCCTTGGCAGGAGGAGGAGGAGGGCCCCTTGGCAGGAGGAGGAGGAGGAGGCCCCTTGGCAGGAGGAGGAGGGCCCCTTGGCAGGAGGAAGAGGGCCCCTTGGCAGGAGGAAGAGGGCCCCTTGGCAGGAGGAGGAGGAGGGCCCCTTGGCAGGAGGAAAAGGAGGGCCCCTTGGCAGGAGGAGGAGGAGGAGGGCCCCTTGGCAGGAGGAGGAGGGCCCCTTGGCAGGAGGAATAGGGCACCTTGGCAGGAGGAAGAGGGCCCCTTGGCAGGAGGAGGAGGAGGGCCCCTTGGCAGGAGGAGGAGGAGGGCCCCTTGGCAGGAGGAATAGGGCCCCTTGGCAGGAGGAAGAGGGCCCCTTGGCAGGAGAGGAGGAGGGCCCCTTGGCAGGAGAAAAGGAGGCCCCTTGGCAGGAGGAATAGGGCACCGCTTGGCACGGAGGAACGAGGGCCACATTTGGCAGGAGGAAGGAAGAGGGCCCCTTGGCAGGAGGAGGAGGGCCCCTTGGCAAGGAGGAGGAGGGATGGGCCCCTTGGCAGGAGGAGTAGGAGGGCCCCTTGGCAGGAGGAAGGGGGCCCCTTGGCAGGAGGAAGAGGGCCCCCCTGTTTGGATGGGAGTTCTCTATACTGGAACCTCAGTTCTGCTCCAGAATGTTATAGGAACGTTGCCTAACGTTGTAGAAACTTTCACTGTTTTCTTGGCTGTCAGACCAGGGCTGCTGTGAGTTCCTAGACTGTTTCTGCTCCATTGGGACTCCATTGGTTACCTAAAATACATTACTCCAACATAAAACTAACGTTATAGGAACGTTAACAGTTTGCTGAGTGAGCCCTGAATTCTGGCCCCTTGGCAGCTAAACCAGGGCTGTTGTTTGGAAAGGAGCTCAGCAGACTGGAACCAACCTTATTGTCATGAGCCCTGGAGGCAGAACTCATCGCTTTCCGCTAGATGGGCCAGCTGCTAAGTAAAATTGGCTATATTGTAAGACTTCATGATAACTAAATTGTGCTTAATTTAAAGGAACGATTCACCCATTTTGAGTGTTTTTCTGAATGATGTTATATCGATTCCCGGGGTCGTTTAATGTTTTCATGTGTATCTGAGCTATTCGCTGTTCAAGCAGGCAGAAATACAGCCGGTATGATGAGTTTTTCATCATATGGGTGAATCTTTCCTTTAAGGTTAGGATTAGGCATTAGGGTTAGCAGTGTGGTTAAGGTTAGGGTTAAGGTTAGGATTAGGCATTAGGGTTAGCAGTGTGGTTAAGGTTATGGTTAAGGTTAGGATTAGGCATTAGGCATTAGGGTTAGCAGTGTGGTTAAGGTTAGGGTTAAGGTTAGGATTAGGCATTAGGGTTAGCAGTGTGGTTATGGTTAGGGTTAAGGTTAGGATTAGGCATTAGGGTTAGCAGTGTGGTTAAGGTTAGGATTAGGCATTAGGGTTAGCAGTGTGGTTAAGGTTAGTGTTAAGGTTAGGATTAGGCATTAGGGTTAGCAGTGTGGTTAAGGTTAGGATTAGGCATTAGGGTTTGCAGTGTGGTTAAGGTTAGGGTTAAGGTTAGGGTTAGGCATTAGGGTTTGCAGTGTGGTTAAAGTTAGGGTTAAGGTTAGGGTTAGGTTTAAAATCAGATTTTATGACTTCATGAGTCATCTCAATAAATGCCAACCTGCGTTCTGTTCAGCTGGAGCTTTGGAATGTTGCCTAACGTGCAAGGAACATTCAAGGAACATTAAGTGTTTGCTGGGTGAGCTCTGAGCTCCGGCCCCTTAGCAGAAGGGGGGAGGAGTTGGGCACCTTGGCAGGAGGAGGAGGAGTTGGGCACCTTGGCAGGAGGGGGAGGAGTTGGGCACCTTGGCAGAAGGGGGAGGAGTTGGGCACCTTGGCAGAAGGGGGAGGAGTTGGGCACCTTGGCAGAAGGGGGAGGAGTTGGGCACCTTAGCAGAAGGGGGAGGAGTTGGGCACCTTAGCAGAAGGGGGAGGAGTTGGGCACCTTGGCAGAAGGGGGAGGAGTTGGCCACCTTGGCAGCTGAAGCAGGGCTGCAGTTTGGAGTTCTCCAGACTGGAACCGCGTTTCTACTGGAGCAGTGGAGCCTCCTGGAGCAGTGGAGCCTCCTGGAGCAGTGGAGCCTCCTGGAGCAGTGGAGCCTCCTGGAGCAGTGGAGCCTCCTGGAGCAGTGGAGCCTCCTGGAGCAGTGGAGCCTCCTGGAGCAGTGGAGCCTCCTGCAGCAGTGGAGCCTCCTGCAGCAGCAGCCCTGCCCCTGCTGTGTTGACTAATCACAATCACTATGAGTCTGGCCTGAATCTGGAGCTCTGGACAGACAGCCCAGCCAACTGCTCTCAATCACTCCCTGAGGGCACAGATTTCCCTGGCAGGAATTAGACTGGGCCATACGCTGGGTCCATCCAAATGGGACCGCTTACAGTGAAGTGGGACTGAGGCCAATGGCTGTGGTTTGACTTGCTACTGACAGAATCATGTAGATCAGTTGTTATTGCTGAGGCATTTTTGACTAACGCATGAATAAAACAATGTTTGCATAATACTAAAAAAATGGAATGTTCAAAAGGAAAGTGGATTATTAGTATTCAAAGTATAAATCATGCATTTTAAGGAAATTGGTTTTGTAATTATTTGCCTCTAATTAAACAGTATATATATCAATAATATACATTGGATATAACATTCATCCATTAATTATTACGTTAGCAAAATAATAATGATCTTATTAAATAAATCCCACCTACAACCTTGCAAGATGTTTGAAATTACTTGATTTAATCAAACTATGAGGAGGTATATTTAAGTGTATTAGAATGACAATTTAGAATTAACTATTAACTTACTATTATTGGCTTACTAGAAATACTGACATAAAAAGACATCTCTTAGCCTACCTTAGACCTCCTTGCTTCCAGATAGGCTTCTCTATTGAACAATACATCCCGTTGTTCCAGTGTTGAATCCTGGTTGAAGTGTTTCCCAGTCGAGCAGAGCACCCATGGTGACAGTATAAAGGAGAGGAGTAACAACACTCTCACAGTTCCCATCGTGTCTGTGCTGTGCTGTGCTGTGCTGTGGTAAAGTGTGAGGAGGCAGTGAAGGCTGTGAGCTAGTAGTAGTAGTAGCAGTAGTAGTAGTAGTAGGCTATTTTCTCAGTGGTAGGCTGTGTGTAAAATGTGATTTGTCAAATCAGTATTTAAAGCCTGCACAAGTAGCTTCCAGGGGATTCTAGAAGCATGGGAGAGTCTGTGGAACAGACTTTAACCCTTTGGTTGCCTGTTTAGACACAGGGAACCACCTCCCCCCACTCTGCTGCTACTGACAGTCACTACGGCACCAGGGTTATTGTGAGTAACCTAATTGGTGTTCCTTTAACTTCCGCCTTCTAGTGAGTTTATACAAACTGTCATCTCCTACCATTCTGATAGATTGGAGACTGTCAAAAAAACGTGGTTGTAACGTTAATAATTTGGTTGTTATTCCATTGGTTACCTCGAGGCAGATCCCCCAGGGGCAGAGTGGCCCACACTCATTGAATATGGCACTTTTAAATGTTAGAGCAATCACAAGTAAAACCTTTCACGTTAATGTATTTTACCCTTATTTTACCAGGTAAGTCGACTGAGAACACATTCTCATTTACAGGAACCACCTGGGGAAGAGTTACAAGGGGAGATGAATGAGCCAATTGGAAGCTGGGGTTGATTAGGTGGCCATGCTGGTATGAGGGCCAGATTGGGAATTTAACGTCCTATCCTACACAGGGCAATGTCCCCGGTCACTGACCTGGGGCATTGGGATATTATAACCAGAGGGAAGACTGCCTCCTACTGGCCCTTAGGGGTTGCAGAGTGGTGTGCTGCTGGCTCATTAGGGGTTGCAGAGTGGTGTGCTGCTGGCTCATTAGGGGTTGCAGAGTGGTGTGCTGCTGGCTCATTAGGGGTTGCAGAGTGGTGTGCTGCTGGCTCATTAGGGGTTGCAGAGTGGTGTGCTGCTGGCTCATTAGGGGTTGCAGAGTGGTGTGCTGCTGGCTCATTAGGGGTTGCAGAGTGGTGTGCTGCTGGCTCATTAGGGGTTGCAGAGTGGTGTGCTGCTGGCTCATTAGGGGTTGCAGAGTGGTGTGCTGCTGGCTCATTAGGGGTTGCAGAGTGGTGTGCTGCTGGCCCTTAGGGGTTGCAGAGTGGTGTGCTGCTGGTTCATTAGGGGTTGCAGAGTGGTGTGCTGCTGGCTCATTAGGGGTTGCAGAGTGGTGTGCTGCTGGCTCATTAGGGGTTGCAGAGTGGTGTGCTGCTGGCCCTTAGGGGTTGCAGAGTGGGTGTGCTGCTGGCTCATTAGGGGTTGCAGAGTGGTGTGCTGCTGGCTCATTAGGGGTTGCAGAGTGGTGTGCTGCTGGCTCATTAGGGGTTGCAGAGTGGTGTGCTGCTGGCCCTTAGGGGTTGCAGAGTGGTGTGCTGCTGGCCCTTAGGGGTTGCAGAGTGGTGTGCTGCTGGTTCATTAGGGGTTGCAGAGTGGTGTGCTGCTGGCTCATTAGGGGTTGCAGAGTGGTGTGCTGCTGGCTCATTAGGGGTTGCAGAGTGGTGTGCTGCTGGCTCATTAGGGGTTGCAGAGTGGTGTGCTGCTGGCTCATTAGGGGTTGCAGAGTGGTGTGCTGCTGGCTCATTAGGGGTTGCAGAGTGGTGTGCTGCTGGCTCATTAGGGGTTGCAGAGTGGTGTGCTGCTGGCTCATTAGGGGTTGCAGAGTGGTGTGCTGCTGGCTCATTAGGGGTTGCAGAGTGGTGTGCTGCTGGCCCTTAGGGGTTGCAGAGTGGTGTGCTGCTGGTTCATTAGGGGTTGCAGAGTGGTGTGCTGCTGGCTCATTAGGGGTTGCAGAGTGGTGTGCTGCTGGCTCATTAGGGGTTGCAGAGTGGTGTGCTGCTGGCCCTTAGGGGTTGCAGAGTGGTGTGCTGCTGGCTCATTAGGGGTTGCAGAGTGGTGTGCTGCTGGCTCATTAGGGGTTGCAGAGTGGTGTGCTGCTGGCTCATTAGGGGTTGCAGAGTGGTGTGCTGCTGGCCCTTAGGGGTTGCAGAGTGGTGTGCTGCTGGCCCTTAGGGGTTGCAGAGTGGTGTGCTGCTGGTTCATTAGGGGTTGCAGAGTGGTGTGCTGCTGGCTCATTAGGGGTTGCAGAGTGGTGTGCTGCTGGCTCATTAGGGGTTGCAGAGTGGTGTGCTGCTGGCTCATTAGGGGTTGCAGAGTGGTGTGCTGCTGGCTCATTAGGGGTTGCAGAGTGGTGTGCTGCTGGCTCATTAGGGGTTGCAGAGTGGTGTGCTGCTGGCTCATTACTGAGTGCAAAGTTGATTGCATGTTTCTCACTGAAACATGGCTGTCATCAGGCTGTAGTGCTGGTATTATTGAAGACCCCCCCAGAAAAGGGGAAAGGGGGGGGGGGGCTCTATTTTTACTAATGCTCTCAGCTGTAAGAACATTTCATAAATTAAAGACAATTTGCATAAAGGCAGAACGGAAGTGGAGAAAGTAAAAGTTGCAGGTCCATTATGATTATGATACTAATTTTTCTAACTTCATCACCATTAATCAGAATAATTCGAGAGTGCTCTTCTCGACCATTGATGGCCTGATGAATCCTACCCCCGTAAACCTATGTGAACTTTCCTCCACATCTAAATGTGATGAGTTTGAGGCATATTTCAGAGATAAGATAACCAACATTAGGCTGGGTATCAGTCAAACAAGACTTGATGAGAAGTTTGATGATATGTGCCCCTAGCCTACCACGCAAAGGCACTATGGATTTATTTCCCCTGGTTGACACAGACATGCTCAGGAAAGGGATATCGCAACTTAAGCCTCCTACCTGCCTTCTCGATCCTATCCAAACCACCTTCAAAACAGTTTTTACTTGCATATCTGAAGATGTGCACGCTACTTTTAATCACTCCCTGTTCACAGGCACGTTCCCCACTGCTATGGTGAAACCCCTTCTGAAGAAAACAGATATAGCTTTTACAGCTTTTAGCTATTTTCAGCCAATCTCCAACCTTCCATTCTTCAGCAAAATTCTGGAGAAATAGGTTTTCAAACTAAATTATTTTTTAAGTGCCAACTGATTTTTAATTTTTAATTCCAATCTTTTTTATTTATTTATTATTTTATTATTAAAATCTTCAATTTTCGTGTCCACCACAGCACAGAGACAGCCTTAGTTAAAGTGGTAAAGTATCTTAGAGCCAACACAGATGGCAAACAGCTCTCTGTCCTTATTTTATGTGCTGCATTCGACACTGTTGATCAGGATGTCCTTCTGGACAGACTGGAGAGGTGGTTGGCCTCTGTTGATCAGGATGTCCTTCTGGACAGACTGGAGAGGTGGTTGGCCTCTGTTGATCAGGATGTCCTTCTGGACAGACTGGAGAGGTGGTTGGCCTCTGTTGACCATGATGTCCTTCTGGACAGACTGGAGAGGTGGTTGGCCTCTGTTGACCATGATGTCCTTCTGGACAGACTGGAGAGGTGGTTGGCCTCTGTTGATCAGGATGTCCTTCTGGACAGACTGGAGAGGTGGGTTGGCCTCTGTTGATCAGGATGTCCTTCTGGACAGACTGGAGAGGTGGTTGGCCTCTGTTGATCAGGATGTCCTTCTGGACAGACTGGAGAGGTGGTTGGCCTCTGTTGACCAGGATGTCCTTCTGGACAGACTGGAGAGGTGGTTGGCCTCTGTTGACCAGGATGTCCTTCTGGACAGACTGGAGAGGTGGGTTGGCCTCTGTTGATCAGGATGTCCTTCTGGACAGACTGGAGAGGTGGTTGGCCTCTGTTGATCAGGATGTCCTTCTGGACAGACTGGAGAGGTGGGTTGGCCTCTGTTGACCATGATGTCCTTCTGGACAGACTGGAGAGGTGGTTGGCCTCTGTTGATCAGGATGTCCTTCTGGACAGACTGGAGAGGTGGTTGGCCTCTGTTGACCAGGATGTCCTTCTGGACAGACTGGAGAGGTGGTTGGCCTCTGTTGACCATGATGTCCTTCTGGACAGACTGGAGAGGTGGTTGGCCTCTGTTGACCATGATGTCCTTCTGGACAGACTGGAGAGGTGGTTGGCCTCTGTTGACCATGATGTCCTTCTGGACAGACTGGAGAGGTGGTTGGCCTCTGTTGATCAGGATGTCCTTCTGGACAGACTGGAGAGGTGGTTGGCCTCTGCTGACCATGATGTCCTTCTGGACAGACTGGAGAGGTGGTTGGCCTCTGTTGATCAGGATGTCCTTCTGGACAGACTGGAGAGGTGGTTGGCCTCTGTTGATCAGGATGTCCTTCTGGACAGACTGGAGAGGTGGTTGGCCTCTGTTGACCATGATGTCCTTCTGGACAGACTGGAGAGGTGGTTGGCCTCTGTTGACCAGGATGTCCTTCTGGACAGACTGGAGAGGTGGGTTGGCCTCTGTTGACCATGATGTCCTTCTGGACAGACTGGAGAGGTGGGTTGGCCTCTGCTGACCATGATGTCCTTCTGGACAGACTGGAGAGGTGGTTGGCCTCTGCTGACCATGATGTCCTTCTGGACAGACTGGAGAGGTGGTTGGCCTCTGTTGATCAGGATGTCCTTCTGGACAGACTGGAGAGGTGGTTGGCCTCTGTTGATCAGGATGTCCTTCTGGACAGACTGGAGAGGTGGTTGGCCTCTGTTGACCATGATGTCCTTCTGGACAGACTGGAGAGGTGGTTGGCCTCTGTTGACCAGGATGTCCTTCTGGACAGACTGGAGAGGTGGGTTGGCCTCTGTTGACCATGATGTCCTTCTGGACAGACTGGAGAGGTGGGTTGGCCTCTGCTGACCATGATGTCCTTCTGGACAGACTGGAGAGGTGGTTGGCCTCTGTTGACCATGATGTCCTTCTGGACAGACTGGAGAGGTGGTTGGCCTCTGTTGACCAGGATGTCCTTCTGGACAGACTGGAGAGGTGGTTGGCCTCTGTTGACCATGATGTCCTTCTGGACAGACTGGAGAGGTGGTTGGCCTCTGTTGACCAGGATGTCCTTCTGGACAGACTGGAGAGGTGGGTTGGAGTTTTAATAGAGTACTCTCTAATAGATACCCTCCTAGTAGAGGAATTTTAATAGAGGACTCTCTAATAGATACCCTCCTAGTAGAGGAGTTTTAATAGAGTACTCTCTAATAGATACCCTCCTAGTAGAGGAGTTTTAATAGAGTACTCTCTAATAGATACCCTCCTAGTAGAGGAGTTTTAATAGAGTACTCTCTAATAGATACCCTCCTAGTAGAGGAGTTTTAATAGAGTACCCTCCTAGAGGAGTTTTAATAGAGTACTCTCTAATAGATACCCTCCTAGTAGGGGAGTTTTAATAGAGTACTCTCTAATAGATACCCTCCTAGTAGAGGAGTTTTAATAGAGTACCCTCCTAGTAGAGGAGTTTTAATAGAGTACTCTCTAATAGAGTACCCTCCTAGTAGAGGAGTTTTAATAGAGTACTCTCTAATAGATACCCTCCTAGTAGGGGAGTTTTAATAGAGTACTCTCTAATAGATACCCTACTAGTAGAGGAGTTTTAATAGAGTACTCTCTAATAGATACCCTCCTAGCAGAGGAGTTTTAATAGAGTACTCTCTAATAGATACCATCCTAGTAGAGGAGATTTAATAGAGTACTCTCTAATATATACCCTCCTAGTAGAGGATATTTAATAGAGTACTCTCTAATAGATACCCTCCTAGTAGAGGAGTTTTAATAAAGTACTCTCTAATAGATACCCTCCTAGTAGAGGAGTTTTAATAGAGTACTCTCTAATATATACCCTCCTAGTAGAGGAGTTTTAATAGAGTACTCTCTAATATATACCCTCCTAGTAGAGGAGATTTAATAGAGTACTCTCTAATATATACCCTCCTAGTAGAGGAGTTTTAATAGAGTACTCTCTAATATATACCCTACTAGTAGAGGAGTTTTAATAGAGTACTCTCTAATAGATACCCTCCTAGAGGAGTTTTAATAGAGTACTCTCTAATAGATACCCTCCTAGTAGAGGAGATTTAATAGATACCCTCCTAGTAGGGGAGTTGTAATAGAGTACTCTCTAATAGATAACCTCCTAGTAGAGGAGATGTAATAGATACCCTCCTAGTAGAGGAGTTTTAATAGAGTACTCTCTAATAGATACCCTCCTAGTAGAGGAGTTTTAATAGAGTACTCTCTAATAGATACCCTCCTAGTAGGGGAGTTTTAATAGAGTAGCCTCCTAGTAGAGGAGATTTAATAGAGTACTCTCTAATAGATACCCTCCTAGTAGAGGAGATTTAATAGAGTACCCTCCTAGAGGAGTTTTAATAGAGTACTCTCTAATAGATACCCTCCTAGTAGAGGAGTTTTAATAGAGTACTCTCTAATAGATACCCTCCTAGTAGAGGAGTTTTAATAGAGTAGCCTCCTAGTAGAGGAGATTTAATAGAGTACTCTCTAATAGATACCCTCCTAGTAGAGGAGTTTTAATAGAGTACTCTCTAATAGATACCCTCCTAGTAGAGGAGATTTAATAGAGTACTCTCTAATAGATACCCTCCTAGTAGAGGAGATTTAATAGAGTACTCTCTAATAGATACCCTCCTAGTAGAGGAGATTTAATAGAGTACTCTCTAATAGATACCCTCCTAGAGGAGTTTTAATAGAGTACTCTCTAATAGATACCCTCCTAGAGGAGGAGTTTTAATAGAGGACTCTCTAATAGATACCCTCCTAGTAGGGGAGTTTTAATAGAGTACTCTCTAATAGATACCCTCCTAGT